CTGGCAGCCACCTCTCGCACCCACTGCTGGCAACAGCCCTGTTTGCACCCGCTGCTGGCACTGGAGCCACCGCTTGCACCCGCTGCCAGTGCCCAGCTCTGGTCCTGATTGCTCGGTGCCATCAGCAGGTGCGAGCGGCAGCTGCTGGCCCCAATCACTCCTGAGGGCTTCTCCACCTCCCCCTACTCCTGAGGGGCAATCGGGGCAGCAACTGCCACTCGCATCCACTGATGGCACTGGCCCCAATCGCTCTGCGCTGTCAGTGGATGCGAGTGGGGCCAGCACTGCCAGTGTTTGGGAGCAGCAATGGTGGGAGCAGGGCTGCTGGCAGACGGGACCAGGGGCAGCGGCAGGAGGAGGCAGGCAGGGGCTCAGAGGATGGGCTGAGACCTGCCCCTGTGCCTACCGCAGCCTTGCGGCCCACAGTTTCTTTCAAGGTGCACGAATTCGTGCACTGGGTCCCTAGTAAAGTAATAAATGGGAGAAAGAAATGAATATCTCATGAATAAGAATTCCAAGTAAATATACTCTTCCCTAAAGGAGGTGGAGCATAGCTCACCACACCTTAAGGTGGGCCTGACACTGTGACTTCCTTCCAAAGAGTACAGTATGGAAAGGAGGTACAAAAGTAACTTTGGAGTGGAGAAATCCAACTAACGCTGCCTCAGCCAGGTGATCAAGGTGAACATCAACAGTTATAAATCACGTGGATGACACATACTCTTAATAAAATGTGATCAAAATGGCACTTAGCCTTCCTTCCCAACCCATAGCTCCAGTCTAGCCATGGGAAAAGATCAAATTCCAATAGAGTGGCATCAACAGTAAACTTGACTAGCACTTCTAAAAATGGTCAAGTTCATGACACACAAGGAAAATCTGAGAATCTTGTCACAGCCAAGATGCACAAAATTTCTATTACAGCTCATGCTTTATTCTGAAATACTAAGTATTAACATCAGCAGTTATCCACTAGGTCAGAGGTTCCCGGAGTTTCTCAGTTCATGGGCTATTAGCGTCCTAGTAAATTTTTTACCCTCTTAGGCCAAAATAAATGCTTAGAGACTGCATTTATTAAGTGGTTAAGTCCAAATGACTTAATAGTAGCTCTCCGCTCAGTGCCTGGCAGATGATGCCATTTCCCTCCATGTCCAACAGATGTCTCTGTGCTTCCATCGTGTCCCCGTGAGTTTGTAGTAGTGCCCAGGGCACCTCAGTGCACAGTTTAGGAACTGCAGCTCTAGGTATTAAACTCTGATGGGCCATACATGATCATCATCTGTCATGATCAATCATAGGTGAGCTGACTGGATAGTGTTCAAACTCACTGCTCCCATATCATGATAAAGCGTTGCATGCAGTGCTCAGTTCAATGTTAAATGGCAACATCGCTTCCAGCTCTTTATCATAGCGGCGCTTTTCACTCACTGTACTGAAGATATTCCTTTCTGTATCAGTCAGAGACAGAACCAATAGAAGGTATGTGTATATACATATAGAGATTCTTTGTAAGGAATTGGCTCATGTGATTGTGGAGACTGACAAGTTCAAATCTGCAGTATGGGCTGTGGTCTCAAGACCCAGGAGAGCTGATGGTGCAGATGAAGTCCAAAGGCAGTTTGCTGGAGAACTTCTTCTTGTTCAGGGAGGCCAGTCTTTTTGTCTATTCAGCATTTCAATTGATTGGATGAGACTCACCCACATTATGGAAGGATATCTGCTTACTCAAAGTTTCACAATTTAAATTTTAAAAAATATATTTTTATTGATTTCAGAAAGGAAGGGAGAGGGAGAGAGAGATAAAAACATCAATGATGCCCTAACCGGTTTGGCTCAGTGGATAGAGCGTTGGCCTGTGGACTGAAAGGTCCCTGGTTTGATTCCGGTCAAGGGCATGCACCTTGGTTGTGGGCACATCCCCAGTGGGAGGTGTGCAGGAGGCAGCTGATCGATGTTTCTCTCTCATCGATGTTTCTAACTCTCTATCCCTCTCCCTTCCTCTCTGTAAAAAAAATCAACAAAATATATAATATAAAAACATCAATAATGAGAGGGAATCACGGATCAGCTGCCTCCCACACGTCCCCTACTGGGGATCAAGCGATCAAGCTCACAACCCACACATGTGCCCAGACCGGGAGTTGAACTATAACTTCCTGGTTCATAGGTTGATGCTCAATCACTGAAAATGCACTAATCATTCCTCCAGAAGAGGGGGCAGTCCTCAACAGATGTTTAGTCTTCTTGATATCCTGTAACTTAAGTACTATTCCATATTAAGTCCAATAAACTATGACATAGCCCTAGCCAATTTGGCTCAGTAGACACAGCCCTCAGACTGAAGGGTCCCAGGTTCTCTTTCAGTCAAGGACATGTACCTCGGTTGCAGGCTCAATGTCCAGCCCTAATTGGAGCTCATGTGGGAGGCAACTAATCAATGTGTCTTTCTCACATTGATGTTTCTCTGTCTCTCCCGCTTCCTTCTACTCTCTCTAAAAGTCGATGAAAAATATTCTCAGGTGAGGATTAAGACACACACACACACACACACACACACACATACACACAACTATGACATAAAGTCAACATACCTTATGTTACATGATAAGAAGAAAAAGATATTTGCTTAATATACACATATACAAACATGCGTAACAAAAATAAGAGAAAAATTAACCATGTAACTGGTCACATGGTTATAGATGGTATTTATAACTACCTTTTCCAATACCTATTCTGCATTTTCTTTGCCTTCAGCAAGCACCTCAGCTGGTCATGGTTCCTTACCTGGTAGGGTGATCTAGAAATTTCACCAATGGCAGAAGGACCCTGAAATTTTTCATATTTGTCTCCCATCCCCTGGCATGTAAATGTCTTACCGAATAAATCTAGAGTAGTTGCTCACTTGGTCCAGTCAGCACAGTATCGTCAATGCAATGGACCAATGTGATATCTTGCGAAGGGAAGCGGGTCTTGTGATCAAGAGCCCTGACAACTAAATTCTGACGCAGGTCTGAAGGGTTGATATGGCCATGAGGTAGAACACTGAAGGTGTGATACTGGTCTTGCTGGCTGAAAGATTACTGTTTCTGGTGAATCTTATGCATAGGAATGGAGAAGAAGGCACTTTCCAGATCAATAGCTACACAGCAAATACCAGGAGGTGTGTTAATTTTCTCAAGCAATGAAACCACATGTGGTACAGCAGCAGCAATTAGAGTCACCGCCTGGTTAAGTTTACAAGAATCCTCTGTCTTCTCAGAGACCTAGCACCAGGCCAGAGAGGAAGGATGGATGGGGGTGTGGGGGAATCACTACCCCTGCGTCCTGTAGGCCCTGATGGTAGCACTCATCTTTGCAATCCTTCCAGGAACGTGGTGTTACTTTGGTTCACTATTTTCCAGGTAGGGACAGTTCTGGTGGCTTCCACTTGGCCTTTCCCACATAATATCCCTCACTCCCAGGCCAGGGACCAGTGTGGGGATGCTGCCAGCTGCTCAGTGCGTCTAGCATAATTACACATCCCAGAACTGGGGAGCAACCACAGGATGGATCTGGGAGTTCCCTGGGCCCATGGTGAGATGGACTTGCTCACCTGACCTCCACAAGCTCCTTCTCTGACTGGTGGGCCACAGGGACCCTGGGTCCCCTGGAATCTGTCAGGTCAGAGCCAGTGGGCAGTGGCCCCCCAAGGCCTGATTATCTCCTTTTCCCCAGTGCAGTTACCCTGGCGAACAGCCGTGGTCCCTTCAGGAAGGCTGGGAGAAAGATTAGCATATAAACATTTGGTAGTGCACGGGACTCCCTCATTGGGGGACCCAGCCTCCCCTTCATTCAAGGGGTGCTGGGCTGTAAACTGGCTCAAGTCTGAGAACTGATTGAGGGGCCATGACTCTCTGTTTTTATGATTCAGATTAGACTTTATTTGACCTAGAATTTTTCTGCTTACACAGAACACCATGATCAGTGAGCTAATATCACGGCTCTGTGAATACAGGACTATTCTAGTTGCTGCTTTGACTCTCTTTTCAGTCAGTAGCCACAACCACCTAGCCTTTGTCGATTGAGTGCCCCAAATATCTCCTGCCATTCTGAGGATCCAGTTACCCCCATTGCATTCAGCTTTCCCAATTCAGTGGCTACAGGTACCCCTGTGAGGTCTGGCCTGCAGGGAAGAGCAACCACAGAGCTCTCCTAGGATGCTGGGCTCACTCGCAAAATTATGTCTTTTCCCAGGGTAGGCGACTAGGTCTCAAATGACGAATCCACGCCAACATTCCAATCCCCCTCTGCATTTCACCAAGGCAGGCCCAGCCTTTCTAACTCACTCTCAGTGGGTCTCCTTGTAGTGCATGCTTCAGCCACACAGACTAGTAGAGCCCTTCCTGACTCTGGGAACAGTGGATGCAAATGTAACATTAGATGCAGAATCCCTGCTTCATGAGCCCATCTCAATCAATTTACCTGATGCAAATGTATGTCCCTCCCACCATCACCCCACCCTCAATATCCATTCCCACACATTGCCCAGATTTCTATTGGTACAAATTAGAAAACTCAAGAGGTTCTTTTGGGGTGCGTGTCCCTCCTCATGGGTCACGCTTTATACTTCTTCACCTATAGGGGTCTGCCGGGACTTGAGTCTAGTTATAGAAGCAGGGAGGGCAGTGGAGTGGGGTCCCCAGGAGAATCAGCATTGTCTTGCTTGACACCTGCCTCAGGGAAGGCCATGGCCCTTTCCTCAGCAATGCAGGGTTAACACCCTGGGGTGGGCAAAGAGGTCCCTCTTACTGAGAGGGGGGAGAGACTGTGGCCACTGGCAAAGAAAACTCATCAGAGCTCAGGGGCCCAGTGTCCCAGTTCCATCAGGGTCTTCTCACACATCCCCATTCAAATGTTCAGGATCACATTCCTTCTCAACCAACGCCTTTAAGAGTAGATAGACACCCTGCAAGGCTGGGGGTATAGCTCACCCTGCAATTCAGCCAGTTGAAGGATGAGGTTGTGAGTTTGATTTCTGGCCATTTCAGCCCTGTGGCTACAAGAGATAGGAGTCCGCTTCCAGGCAGATGTAGAAGCTTTCGGGTCATTTGTGGGGCTTCTGAGTCACAAGAGTTAGACCACAGACTTACTGGAATTGTTGGGAACAAGGTGCTGTTTCCACTGAGGCTGCTTAGCTGGTAGGATGCAAACTGGAGGGACTGGGGTCATTGTGGCCTCCACTTGGAAGCCCTTTTGAGAAACAGTCCCTGTCAACATCTGTTCTCTCCACCTCACTACTCGCTTCTCCCCAATGTAGCCACATGGCTATAATCATTCAAACACATTCTCACACACCCTCCTTGGTTACGGAATAGCACTTGTTTTATCACCAGTAGAAAATGGCTTAGAACAGCATGTAGGACAGAAGACAGGGCAGGAGCCAGAGTCTGGGGCCACCTGGCTCTGGGAATTCTGAGGCCTTGGATCTCATCAGTATCTCTGGGGAAGGAGCGCTCACCTCTTCAGTTCTCATTTTCTCAGAGACATAGGGCCTTCCCTCCACCTCCGTCACCTTCTTGATCCAGGGACTATAATTATCTAACAAGGTGTAAATTCCTGGAATGTTCTTCCGTCCACAGCTCCTTCCCCAGCTGATGATGCCCACCTGGTACCACTTCCTGTCCGATTCTGTGGTGCAGACCAGAGGCCCTCCACTGTCACCCTGTGGGCAGAGAACACAGTTCAGTAGCAGGTCTCATTCTAAACTGCCCATTTGTGTAGTAACTTTCATGGATGGAAGAGGACCCATTGACCTCCCCTCCTCCAGGCTGCCAAAGGAAATCTGTCATTGCTTTCCATGGCCTACCTCAATCCCAGGTCCCCAGGGGAGTGTGTTACTGTCAGGTTGGCTCTGGGAACTGTGGGTTGTAGAGTGTGGGCAGTGGATGGGGTAGGACTAAAGATTGAGGAGGAGGAGGAGGAGGAGGAGGAGGAGGAGGAGGAGGAGGAGGAGGAGGAGAGGAGGAGGAGGAGGGGAGGAGGAAGAGGAGGAGGAGGAGGAGGAGGAAGAGGAAGAGGAAGAGGAAGAGGAAGAAGGCCCTGGTGAAAAAGAACTCCATCTGTAGATGGGAGCTAGAAGTCAGAGTAAATATTCTCAGGCTAAAAGAAGTGGAGAGATGGCCTCTTCCATGATCATAAACAGGTGACTAGAATGATTAGACTCTGGCAGGGGGAGGAGGAGGAGGACTAACATTTCCTGGACATGTGCAGAGCATTGTGTTAGCCCCTTACCTTTCTTTTTCCTCATCAACCCCACCACCTCATATCTCTGTGAGGTAGGTGTTTTCTTATTTTCTAATAAGAAAATTGAATGTCAAAAGAGGTTTGATCACTCCCATGTCACAGATTTTCACTGAGGAAAAACTAATTGTTAGGCAATTGGGATACAAGACCTTATGCTCTAGTGGGGGAGATAATATAAACTGTGTTTGATGGGCAGGAGAAGTATGAACAAACCTAGAAGCAGTGCAGAGGGCGAGGAACTGATTCTGTTGAGGGAAAGTTCTGTCAGAAGAGACTTCAAGGCACTTTGTTTGAAGGATGATTAGGAATTTGACAGAAAGAGTGTGTGGGACCGTGCAGAGAGGAGCCAGACAGAAGGTAGAGGGACTGGATAAGACGAAGTGAAATGGTGAGGATCTGAAGGTCAGGATGGGGAGGAATGAATTAAAATCCACATGATCTGATGATGACTGGTGACATTGGACATAGATGGTGGTGACTAGTTCCCAGGGCATGGAGTGTGTTTAGAGAGATAAAGTGCAGGAGAAGATAATTAATGAAGTGTTTGCAAGTGGAGTTTGGGTTGGCTGTGGAATGCATCACCAAATAGAGGGTTAAATAGAGCAGAATTACAGAGAGGTCGGAGTTCAAGGACACACAGTAAGCACTGGCCAAAACCAAAATCCCCCTTTCCTACAAAGTGTTGCTCTACTACTTGTCTGGTTTTTGTGGGTGTGCGCTTTTTGGGTGCTAGTTCTGTTTCAAAGTCATGGGGCAAGAACCAAATCAACAGGATCTCTACTCAAATAGCTCCTCCCATGAATGATGTTTTATGAAGGCATGCATGTTATACAACTTTTATCAATATGTTGCCTTGATTATTTTGTTACATAACAAGGAGAGAATGGTACTTGGGCAAGTAACTTTTTAAAGCCTCAGTTTCCGTGTCATTAAAATAGAGATAATACCAACTCCTTCCCAAGATTGTCAGCAGATGAAATTTTTTAAACTCTGTAAATCACTCACAAAGTATTGTTACTAGCCAGCATATGTGTGATGTTATATTTTGCTTGACTATGCCACTTAAAAATGGTTATTTTTTTAATTGAACTTTTTTTTTTTCACACTATAACCTTAACTGGGAGATTACAAACAAGAAAAGTTCTGGGAAAAGTAAACCAAAAAAACTGTTTTTAATTTTAGCATTTACTGCTAATTTGTATTTTAAGCATAGCGTAATTTTACTGCCATTATTTTGAACATATTTAAATGTTATCACCCTAAAATGATCATTTCCCTTAGTATGTGATTACATGCTTTAAGTTGGCTAAATTTAAAAGTGTGATTTTATTTTTAAGGCCAATTATTTTTAAATGTTTTCTTTGTTTTAAAGTGATGATAATGTTGTATAATTTCAGAAAAATTTCCTTGACTGGATCACTGTCAGCTTATCGTGGACAATAGAAAGCTTTCTAAACAGAGGGCAAAGCTTTTCATTTCACAACTTAAAAAAAAAAAAAAGGCTTACAACGATAACAGCACATTTATTTACAGAACACTTAACAAATAGAGAATTTTCGAAGTTCTCATTAAAGTGCACTTTTTGTTGCAAGAGATTGCAACACAAAGCCTAGACTCCGGATGGACATCCAGCTACTGCAGCAGAGGGAGCAGAGGGTGCAGAAAACGTCGCCGGAGATGGCACTTGATGATTTCAGGTGTGGCCACAGTTGGTTTGGCCATTGGAATATGGGACGGGGTTGAATCAAAGAGATTGGAAGGAGAGTGGGGGTATGGGTGGGGCCTGCTTCTTATATTCTTGCGTGAGCATAGGAGCAACAGCCTGGCATAACAGTGGTCTCCCACACATGGCATGACCTCCCTTACTGCGCTGCTCACCTGCCCACACTCAGCTCCTGTCACCTCTGGCTTCTGAAATCCTGGAACTTCCCTGAACACATGATGCCATTTCAAGCCTCTGATTTCCCCCATGTTCTCTCTGGGATGCTCTCTTTCTATTCACATTGTGTGCTGAATGCTATCCCCCCGCCCCCCCCCCCCCCCCCCCATTGCTATTTGGAGCTCTTTGTCTCCGGCTCTAGCTTGAACCAGTTGCTCCTTTAGGTCTATGGCATGGCTGTGATCCCAGATCTTCTTTTATTTTTTTATTATTATTTTTTTAAATATATTTTATTGATTTTTTACAGAGAGGAAGGGAGAGAGATAGAGAGTTAGAAACATCGATGAGAGAGAAACATCCATCAGCTGCCTCCTGCACATCTCCCACTGGGGATGTGCCCGCAACCCAGGTACATGCCCTTGACCGGAATCGAACCCGGGACCTTTCAGTCCGCAGGCCGATGCTATCCACTGAGCCAAACCAGTTTCGGCCCAGATCTTCTTTTAACCACTGTGTCTAGGAAGCTTTGTCTTCTCTTTGTTTTTATTTATTTTTTTGTTAATTCTCACTGGATATTTTTCCCATTAATTTTTACAGAGAGTGAAAGGGAGGGAGGGAGGGGAAAGAGAGAGAAAGAGAGAGAGAGAGAGAGAGAGAGAGAGAGAGAGAGAGAGAGACATCGATGTGAGAGAGACATATCGATTGGTCGCTTCCCGCATGTGCTTGACAAGGGCTGGGGATCTAACCTGCAAGCCAGGTACAAGCTCTGACCGGGAATCAAATCCTCCACCCTTCAGTGCAAGGGCCGATGCTCTAACCACTGAGACGCTGGCAAGGGCTGTTTTTTAAATTTTTGATACAATTATAGATTCATATGCACTTGTAAGAAATCATACAGAGAGATTCCATGTACCCTTTTCATGTTTCTCCCAAGAACAACATCTTGCAAAACTACAGTATAATAGTCACAAGCAGGATACTGACACTGACACAGTCAAACTGAGAACACTTCCATTGCCAAAGGGCTCCCTCGTGGTGCCCATGAGGCTATATCCACCTCCCTCCCACCTCCAGCCTCTCCTTAGATCTCTGCTGCAACCAACAATCTGTCTCCAATTCTACGATTTTGTCATTTCAAGAATGTTACGTAGCTGGCATCATGCAGTGCGGGACCTTTGGGGACTGGCTGATTTCACACCGCATCAGCCTCTGGAGACCCGCCATGTTGTTGCATGTATCAATAGTTGTGTCTATCATAGCTGAGTGGGATTGTGCGGTATAGATGTACCACAGTTTATTTAACCATCCACGTCTCGAAAGACGTCGTTTCCCATGCTTGGCTATTATGAATACAGCTGCTATAGAGCCTCCTGTACAGGTTTTGGTGTGAACACAAGCCTTCATTTATCTGAAATGAATGCCTGAGAGTAGCATTTGCTAGATTATGTGGCCTGAGCATGTTCCACTTTTTAAGAAACTGGCAAACTGTTTTCCAGAGTCTGGTTGGGCTATTTTCAAGTCCCACCAGCAATGTGTCCAGTTTCTCAGCATTCTTGTCAGCATTTGGCGTTGTCACTATTTTTTTTTTTTTAATTTTATCCACTCTGAGAGGCGTGTAGTGATGTCTCATTGTGGTTTGAATTTGCATTGGCTTAATGGCCAATGACACTCAACATCTTTTCATGTTCTTATTTACCATCCGGTTATCCTCCTCAATGCAATGTCTGTTCATGTCTTTGGCCCATTTTCTAATTGCAGGGTTTGTTTTTCTACTGTTGAGTTTGAAAGTTCACTATCTACTCTAAGTATAAATCCTTTGTGGGATATTATCTCCCAATCTGTAGCTTGTCTTTTCATCCTCTTAATAGGGTCTTTCACAGAGAAAAAAAATCTTTGATTTTGATGAGGTCCAATTTATCAATTTTCCTTCTTTCGAGCTGCGTTTTTGGTATCACTCTAAGAACCTCATAATGAGTATTTCCCAATCCATGTCCCCATTCCCAGGGCCACGCCCTGATTCCCACACATTTCCCAGACTCACTGTTTATTCCCAGTGGAGAGAGGACACCCTTGCCTTGGCAGCCCTGAGGGGATGAGGGCCTGGAGAGAGAGGGAGGGGACAGCCCTAGTTACCTGGCAGGAATCGTAGCTCTTATTCTCATACCCAGCGCACAGCATGTTTTTGGTAAGCTTTGGAAAAACCTTTGTACATTCCCTCCGATCCATGATGACCATTGGCACTTTCATCAGGTCAGTGGTCTCAGAGTGTTTGTCACCTGGCCCACAGAGAAAGCACATCAGGAAAGTTGCTGGACAGCAGTCTGTGTGTGTCAGTAATGCAAGTGACCTGCCCTAGACCACGCTGCGCATCCCCGCAGCCCACCAGCCCCCCTCCACCTTCCTCCACATCCTCACCACTTCCCCCCGTCGCTACTTCCTTCCTTCAATCCCACGCAGCTCACTCACTCCACCACCCCAGGTTTCCCACAATTCCCCACCTACTCGAATCATTGCTCTCATTCAAAATCAGACCCCTGCTTCCAAGAAGACTTCCAGCTTGACTCCAACCAGCCCTACAAATTTGACCTCTTAGAAGTGGCTATTGGTCATTTCTCAGCACAGTCCTCCCTCCTCTTCCTGCCTGCCGATGACCACTTTTCAGTATGAGAGGATGGCCCTCCCCTGACACAGGGCTGCTGAGCGTGGACCTGCACTCCCAGTGGGAAGTTTTCCGGTCCCCCGGGCAGGGGAGGTTGGCTGCATGTCTTCACAGGGGACTGGCCAGGGCCCTTTCCAGCCGGCATCTTTCTAGCTCACCAACTCTGACCACATAGACCTTTCAAAATTCTTCTGCTTATTGACTCTTTTTAATCTGGAGGCCTCCTCCTCCTTCACTTCTAACTTTCGAGGGGTGCCTGGAGCGCAGAAGCAATCACACGCCAGTGGCTCTCTGGCTACTGAACTCCTGCAATCCCTCCCTTTTTCCAGACCTCAGCTCGGTGCAAGGCGTCCCTGTGGACCCAGAGTCTCCCTCAGGCCTGAGACAGTGCTGTGCTGTTCCCACCCCCTACCTATTGGCTCTTGGTTTTGTTGAGTTTTCTTTGGGGACAGTCCAGCAAGGCTTTCATAATCCCTCTCTGCCCTGGTACAAGTTCCTCCTGTTTTGGCCAAGCCACAGTGCAACAACAGGGAACAAGTAACAGCAGATTCTCAGACTGGCTGGGCAACACTCCAGGGCCATCAAAGGTCTGAGCCCGGACAGGCATCTTGAATGCCTGTACAAACCAGGTGGGAGACATCGATGTGTGAATCAAGGGAGATGTGAAAGAGAAAAGAGGAGAGTGGCCCCTGGCAAACTGGAGAGTTTAAATTCAATTACACAAACAAACAAGACTGCTCTGTGCTGGCTGAACACGCCCACACCCGGGGCAGTCTCAGACCTGGCATCTCAGCCTGGGCCTTGGGGTGATGCTTCCTTGGCCCTCAGAGGTTGAGATTGGGTCTCTGGGAGCCTCTGCTGGGCAGGAATTTGCTCCAATGCAAGTTCTTTTCTCACCCCTGCCCCTCAGCCCTCTCTCCTTTCACCCTCCTCCTGCCTCCTTTAGAGTGAGTGGCCCGTCTCCAGATGCCTGTGATTGGCTCCTCCCCCAGCAGCTCTCAGAAGCTACTGAGCAGTCACGTACCAGGTTTGGTCTGCCCCCATCCTGCCACCCAGCATTTGCTCCACTTGGCGGGGCCGGGCTGCCTGGGCATGCAGATGGGCTCCTTCAGGCCGCTGAACCTGATCTCTGTGTTCAACAACAGCAAGGCGATGTCGTTGTCCATGGTGAACCTTTCGAAGTCCTTGTGAATCACTATGCTGGTGACCCCCTTCACTTCCAGGGAGGGGCTTTGCAAGTCGTTGGTTCCCAGCACAACGCTCAGGTCTATGGGACTGGGTGGCACAGAACCGGAGAGGGCAGGTAGAGGGGAAGGAAAGTCACCAAGCACCCAGAGTTTGCTGTGCCCCCCAAGCATACCTCCCATATATTTCAAGGAGCCTTTACAACTTGTTCTACCAGGGCTGTTGCTAAAAAGATGTGATACTTTTAAAAAGGTAACGAAGGAGGGCGAAGCAGTCTTTGTGGCAGACCACAGCGACACGGTACCCAGCACAGTCCCAGGGGTGTGGAGGGGACACCCCTCCTAATGGGGCCAGGACAGAGCTTAGCTTTGGCTGCTCCAAAGAGCCCACCACCTGGCACAAATCAAACCAGCCCACAGAGAGGTAAGGTAGGATTACATTGATTCGCCTGCCAGCAACTTAGAGACCCCAGACTGCAGTTTAATCCAGACATGCCACTGATTGAACAGAAAGAGTCTTCAGTCATAATTCAGGAATTCCCTCCAGGCAGAATGGCTAGGAACTTTCCATTAGCGTGTCTTTTAGTATCCCATGTGGGCAGATGCAACAAGCTACGTGGTCATGCCACAGCGAAACTTTACCAGATGTTCCATTTACCCTTTAAAGCAGTGGTTCTCAACCTTCTGGCCCTTTAAATACAGTTCCTCATGTTGTGACCCAACCATACAATTATTTTCGTTGCTACTTCATCACTGTAATGTTGCTACTGTTATGAATCGTAATGTAAATATCTGATATGCTGGATGGTCTTAGGCGACCCCTGTGAAAGGGTCGTTCGACTGCCAAAGGGGTCGTGACCCACAGGTTGAGAACCGCTGCTTTAAAGTCAGTTGGATCTCAGTTTCCTTCTCTATAAAATACGGTTGTTCATTCTATCTGCCTCAGAGGGTTGTTGTACGATGAAATTATACACGTAGTTGCTTACATGGTCACTGGGCCATGATCAGTAATCAGTAAATGCTGCGTTTGCCACCCATCTCCTGGAGCTAAAAGAAAACTCAACAGGGAGCAGGGAAGTGGGGGTGTCCAAAGGCCTGGAAACCCCGGCTTTCAGAAATAGGAAAGTGTCTTCCTGGAAGGATTTGTCTGTCCTAGAAGAGGTAAACGGATCAAGCCCTTTAACTCTGCCAGGCCAGATGCTCCTGGAGTGTGTGATCGCAGGGAAGCCCTAGTTACGGGCCCTGGGTGCCCGTGAGGTGGGCATAGCAGGGGTTCACCGCCTCTTCAACCCCAGGGCCATGGTGTCTGAGTGGGGACTGACAGGCCCTGGGACTCCCCTTAGCAATCAGGTCTGCCTGAGTGTGGGGACGCTCCGGGGGTGGACAGTGTCAGAAGCAACAGGGATGGGCTCTTGATACTTACTTCACTTCCTCATTTGATAAGCAGTGAGCCGCAGTGACAATCCACCAATTGTTGATGATCGTGCCGCCACAGAAATGTTCATTTCCTGTCTGAATACTCACCATCCACGGGAACTCGCCCTCCTCAGCCTCCATCCCCTCTATGATCCTGGAATACTGAGATCCTCCCTCAAAAAGGGGTCTTTTGCCGCATGCTGGTGGCATGGAAGAGGAAGGAAAGGAAAAGATGAAACCACTCAATCAATATCTATAGGAGGCCTCTAGGTAGATACCATTATGCTTATTCTAGACATGAGGCATCTAAGGCAGGCTCAGGGAAGCACCCAGATACACGAGTAAGCCAGCCGATGCTTTATGTTCATAGCACAGCGCCTGGGAAGCCCTAGTTACGGGCCCTGGGTGACCGCGAGGTGGGCATAGCAGGGGTTCACCGCCTCCTCAGCCCCAGGGCCATGGTGTCTGAAGTGTTGGCTCTGCCCCCTCCAGCATTGTGATCTTAGGAGAGTCTCTTCATGGAGTTTGTCTCTGCTCTCACCCAAGAGAAATCAGAGGAAAAGATTTGTCCAACACCAAGTATGGAGTGGCAGGCAAAATAACACCCTCCTCCCCACAAAGATGTCCATGTCCTAAAGCACTGGTGGATAGTGCTTTATAAGGCAAACAGGATTTTGGAGATGGAATTAAAGTTGCTAATCAGCTGATTTAAAAATGGGGAGATTGGCCCGGCCAGTGTGGCTCAGTGGTTGAGCATCGACCTATGAACCAGGAGGTCACAGTTCAATTCTCTATCAGGACACATGCCCAGGTGGCAGGTTTGATCCCCAGTAGGGGGCATGCAGGAGGCAGTTGATCAATGATTCTCTTTCATCATTGATGTTTCTCTCTCTCTTTCCCTTACTCTCTGAAATCAATAAAAAATATTTAAAATAAGAATAAACTGGGGAGATTGTCCTGGATAATCTGAGTGGACACAATGAATCCCAAGGCTCCTTAATGGTAGTGGACCAGGCAGAAGAAGAAAGACGTGACTAGGGAAGAAAGGCACAGAGCTGCCTTGGAAGATGGAAGAAGGGGCCCCAAGCTGAGGAATGGGGATGACCTTCAGAAGCTAGAAAGGGCAAACGTTCTCCCCAGAGGCTCGGAAGGGAATGCAGTCCTGCTGACACCTTGATCTTAGCCCAGGGAGACCTGTGTCTGATCTGCATTCAACAGAACTAACTGTAAGATAAGAAATGTGTGTTGTTGAAGCCACTAAGTTTGTGGTGGTTGGTTCCAGCAGCCCTAGAAGCTAATTCATGTGGGAAACCAGAACGGTCCCAGAAAGGGCCTGAACCTTCCAGAAGCCCTGAACTGTTCTAGAACATTCTGTTTCCTGAGAGGCTGAGAGCACAGGCTGCAGCTGCCTGTGCAGAGAAGAAAAATCTGTCTCTGGAGAGAGAGTCCTGGCCCAGCTCCTAGGAGAGGAGCCACTCCATTAGTATTTGTTGTAGTCAATTAATTAATCAATGAGCTCGCTAACGACTCCCTCCACTGCCCCTAATGCTCACCACTGACTGGGAGAAGGGGACATGAACAGGGCCACTATCAAGCCCTTCCCCACCCCGCCACGCCTGGGAGAGCTGCTCTGGCCATGGGGGGACGGCGGGGGCGGGGGGCGGGGGGAGAGGAAGGTGGGGCGGGGGAGGAGTCAACATACCAAGAAGTGTGCCCCTGACTTGGGACATGAGCAGCAAAACTGATAACAGGAACATGACCCTTGGCTTTGCTGCTGGCCTAGGAGGTGGCGGAGGCCAGGGCTGAGGGGAAAGACACTGCCATGGCCTCTCCTCTCCCAGCTGGCCCAGCTGGCGATGTCACAAAGGGCTGGGTGGTTGAGAACTCGAGTCCTGCAGGCTTCTCTTCTTGCCATTTGTTCCTAACATGGCTGCACAGAGGGCCCTCATCCTTGAAATCGTCTTGTCTGAGATCCTCTTCCCGCTGACCTGGGCACGACTACCCTTCACCAAGTCCTTGGTGGGCACCTTGCTTGTGGTTCCTGCCCTAAGTAACCCATTTTAAGGCTCAAATGCCTCCTCTCTCACAGAGCCTGTCACGTCAGAGGTCCCTGTGAATGTGTGCCTGAGGCCTGAGTGAGGGACTGCCAGGCTGGACCTCGAGACTGGGGAGGAGCTCAGGAGTCCCAGAGGGCCTCCCCCAGCACTAACACGGGGTGGGGGTGGCGGGGGTGAGGGGGTGGCAGTCGCCTCTGACCTGGGGCTGCCAACATGGACCTGGCCCTTCATGCCCAGCCTAGCAGGTGACAATCCTGCTCTCACCACTTTCTAGGTTTATTCCACATGATGCCCCAACCCCCAGGTAAGCCCCTGACCACATCTAAGGATGAAAGGATCAGACTCACAGATGTAAATGCCTGGCCCATGGCTTCCCCTCACAGCCGCGGGTTTGGTCCTGGGTCATGGATCTGGACCTTCCTGTTTACCTCACTCTTACCATGCTCTGACTCGGGTGCATTGGACACAGGCACCCTCAGGACAGCCTCGCTGGCAACTTGCTCATCTGCAGAAAAGGGATAACAATGTTCACAAGTAAAGTTGTGAAGCTCAAAACAAGATTATGTGACCCAGGTGTGGCCTCGTTTTACTACATCTCCAGCTACTCTCCCCTCTCATGGCCCCTCCCTGCAGCTGCTCCTCAGCGCCCAGGTGTCCACTATCAGGGTTGGGCCAGCCTGTTGTGTGGCCATGGATGGTGCTGTCCTCACCTGTCCTGAATAACACCTCATCTGCATCCTCAACAGAACATCCTGGCCCTGACGAAAGACTAAGCCTTTTTTAAGGGCATATGGGCAAAGGTCCCAAAGATTTCAGGCCGCCTGGCCTGCCACCGGGAAGCTCTGGGCTTTCCCTTTGTGCTTCCTTTGAATTCGGCTCCCTCTCTACCCTGGCCCTGCCACCACCCCTGGCCAAATGCCTGCAGCTTCTCCTTTGCTCACCTACTGTTGGTTCTGGGGGTGAGGAGAGGAGGAGAAACCTGGGCAGGGTCTGACTGGGAGGATGACAGCTGATCCCACCAGCGGGGATGCAGGGATGGCAGGCACATCCACTTGCAACCGCTGCTCACTTTCTAGAAAAGTATCCGGACAAAATCACAGCTCACCTCTAAGAAGACCCATTTTCTGCTGGGGCTATATCTCTCCTATTAACATGGGCCCTGTTACTTGTGACATCTTCATTCACTGTGCGGCATTTCTTTGCCAAGCTTCTTCACAGTAACAGTGGACTGCACCAGGCCTGGGTGGGATGCCTGGGTGAGACAAAACTGCCATGCCTAGCCACAACTCCAAAGGGCACCAATCCTATAGATCACAATGGGAATGACTCCCCCCCGGAGCTGGGTGAACATGGGGGCCAGGTGTGGAGAGAAGCTCTATAAGGAATCTATAGAAATCCGAAGAGTAGAGGAGGCACATGATGGCATAGGCTGCCTAGGACTGCTGCCTGGCCGAAGTTCCAGAGGTCCCCAGGGCAGCCCTATTGTGGTGACTTTGTTTACCACCATCCTGGCCAGCAGTTCTAGAACGGGACTAGGGAGCACACTCAGTGCAGGTTAAGGCTGCCGGATTGAGCAAATAAGTATACAGGATGCCCAGTTACATTTGAATTTCAGACCAAGAACAAATGTTTTTCAGTATATGTACCCGTCATGCAATGTCTGAGTATGCAGTGTATCTGCCTACTCATCCTGTAGAGCTCGTCAATCACAATACTTCCACTCTCAACCTCTTTTGTATCTCAATTATGTTTCAGAGGTTGAAGTCCAAACCTCCAGCACCTTAGAATGTGACCCTGCGTGGAGACAGGGTCTTTAAAGAGGTAATCAAGGTAAAATGAGACCCTCAGGGCAGGACCCTAATTCACTAGGACTTGTGTCCTTATAAGCAGAGGAAGAGACCCAGGAGTGTCCATGTCCAGAGAGATGACGGTGTGAAGAGGCAGCAGGAAGGTAGCCATCTGCATGCCAAAGGGAGAGGCCTGGGCAGGTCTTTCCATTGTAGCTCTCAGAAGGAACCCAGACCCGTCAGCACCTTGCTCTTGGACTTCCCAGCCTCCAGAACCAGGACGTTTCTGTTGTCTAAGCCACCCTGTCTGTGGCATTTTGTTATGACAGCTTTGGCAAATGACAACACGCACCCTCTTTCCTCCCTTAGGCTACCTCATCTTTCATCAGTATAACTGGAGCCACTTCCTCTCTGATAGTCTCTTTTCTAGTCATCCTCTCTCAAATAATCTCCATGTTACACCCAGAATAATCTTGTAATGCACGTGGGATTATATGACCTGCTTTCATTCCACCACTCTCCCCATCAACCTCACAATAAAATCCACATCTCCTAACACGTTGTAGTGGCTTTGAGATCTGGTTCCAGAGACCATGAAAACGTGCCCAACGACCCAAAGCTGGTTAATGCAGAAGCGGATGATAGAATACAGAACTCCTCAGGAGGCTCAGAGTCAAGGGTGAAAGGGGAGTGTACAGACAAGTTTGCCTGCAATGGAGTCCACCTAGTCTCCCCTGCAGACTCAGCCAGTCTACCTTGCTCCCCTACTTCCGCTCTAACCCCCAGCTTACTGTGATGTCACGCAGGACCATGTATTTGTGATGGTCACAACCTAAGCAGTTGCAGCTGGCATTTTATCACCTTGGGCTGGAGGCACAGGTTGGGCAATTCTGGAAAAGAATGAAAAGAAGATGCTCCAGTTTCTCATTCCACTGATGCTGGAGTTCACTGAATACCCCCATAAAATTCCAGGTCTGTGCCAGGAAAACCTAGTGCAGAGGATGGGGAGAGGCCTGCAATCTCTTACCTGGCTCCTGCAGAGCTGAGCGAGAGGCCCACGGGGGTGCTGAGTGAGAGCAGATGGCTCTGGAAGTGAGGATATTACAACCAAAGTAAATGCATTAGGCTCAGTGAATAGTCATTTAAGATGATCCTCTAGGGCAGTGATCGGCAAACTCATTAGTCAACAGAGACAAATACAGTGGGGCCTTGACTTACGTGTCCCGACTAACGAGTTTTTTGAGATACCAGCTGTCTCTCTGCTGATTTTTTGCATTGAATTGATAGAGTAATTTGAGTTAACGAGATCCTTAACGAGCTCGGTCTCAGAACTAATTAAACTCGTAAGTCAAGGCCCCACTGTATCAACAGTACAATGATTAAAATTTCTTTTGAGAGCCAAATTTTTTAAACTTAAACTATATAGGTAGGTACCTTGTTATTAACTTAATTAGGGTACTCCTAAGGCTTAGGAAGAGCCACACTCAAGGGGCCAAAGAGCCTCATGTGGCTCGAGAGCCACAGTTTGTCGACCACGGGTCTAAGGCAGTGGTTTTCAACCTTGGCTGCACATTAGAATCACCTGGGAATCTTTTTAAAATCCTGATTTCTGGGCCTCATCCTTTGTTATGGGGTGGGGCCACAACATTAGTAACAAAGAAACAGAATTTCCGGAGGATGAGGCCCAGAAACCAGGATTTTAAAAAGATTCCCAGGATGCCGAAGCCAGTTTGGCTCAGTGGATAGAGCGTCGGCCTGCGGACTGAAGGGTCCCAGGTTCGATTCTGGTCAAAGGCATGTACCCGGGTTGCGGGCACATCCCCAGTGGGGGGTGTGCAAGAGGCAGCTGATCGATGTTTCTCTCTCATCGATGTTTCTAACTCTCTGTCTCTCTCCCTTCCTCTCTGTAAAAAATCAATAAAATATATTAAAAAAATAAAAATAAAAAAAATAAAAAGATTCCCAGGTGATTCTAATGTGCAGCCAAGGTTGAGAACCACTGCCTTAGGGCCTGGACCCAAAGTTCTGGAAGTACGAGGGACTTGGAGCAACAATTCAGCAACTGCCTTTGCTTCTCCAGTCCCCTCTTTGTAAAGACATTAAAGATCCAGTTCTGGGCCCAGCACCCTGGGAGAAGCAGTGGAGCTGTGGTGGCAGAGGGACTTACTTAACTTAGGCCACCGGTGTCACAGTATGTCCTCTCGTTCAGTGGGAAAAGTTATAGGGCTGCTGCAGGAGCAAATGAGTTAATGCAGCTTTCCCCAGGTATGTTCCTTAGAGCTTCTCTCCCGCTGGAAGCTGTGCAGAGAGGAGCTCTATGGTCACCTTTTCTGTAACGTCACAGTGGAGATCCACATATTAAGGGTTCTGAGAAATCTCATCGTAAGGAGAATGGTTTAATTTTACTTAATCCACTATTTCTGAAACGTTTCTGTGCACAAGACCACCCTTTACCCCCACTTCCAGCCGTATTTGTAACATTTTCTACTTGCTCTGTTGAAAATTACCTGTCCCTATAGTTTTCCCATTTTTCCTATTTGAGTGGGTTTTGTAAATAGATTTGCAGAATCTTTTAAAAAAATTTTAATGCCATTAACTCTCTTTTTCTAATATGTGCTGCAAAATCTTTTCTCCAACTCTATTTTGGACATACAGAAATTTAAAATTTATGTACAATCCAGCAATATTTTTACTTCTGGTTCTTGGATTTTATTTGATGAATTAGAAAGGCCTTTTTATCCCAATATTATAAACACAATCATATCTGTAGCATTTCTAAGATCAGGAACAAGACATGGATGCCCACTCACTCTACTCTTATTCAATACTAGAAGCCCAGTGCATGAAATTCATGCAATGGGGGGGGGGGTGGTGTTAGGGGAAGGGTTTTTCAGCCCGGCCTGCACCCTCTTGCAATCCGGGACCACTGGATCCTAACCGCTCGCCTACCTGCCTGCTTGATTGCCCCTACCCCCTCTGCCTGCCTGCTTCATTGCCCCTAACTGCTCACCTGCCTGCCTGATCTCCCCTAACTGCCTCTGCCTTAGCCCCCGCTGCTGTGGCTTTATCCAGAATGACATCCGGAAGGTTGTTTGGCTGTCCAGTCTAATTAGCATATTATGCTTTTATTATTATAGATGGTACTGGAAACCCAAGCCAGAGCAATTAACAAGACAAAGAAATAAAACACATCCAAGTCAGGAAGGAAGAAGTAAAACTGTTGCTATTTGCAGATAATATAATTTTGTATATAGAAAATCCCAAAGACACAACAAAAAAATTGTTTGAACTAATCAATGATTTCAGTAAAGTTTGCAGGATACAAAATTAACATACAGAAACCAGTTGCAATTCTATACATTAAGGATAAGACATCTGCAAAAAGAAAGACAATAATCCCATTCACAATAGCACCAAAAGGAATAAAACACGTAGGCATAAGACTAACCAAGAAAGTGGAAGTTCTGGACAATGGGAACTACAAGACTTTGCTAAAGGAAATTGAAGAGACATAAACAAATGGAAAGGCATCAGATGTCTGATTTCAAACTATCCTACAAAGCTACAGTAATGAACACAGTAAGATACTGGCACAAAAATAGACATCCTGACCAGTGGAACAGAATAGGGATCCTAGAATTAAACTCCCTGTTATGTGGTCAACTAATATTTGGCAAGGGATCCAAGATCACCCGACAGAGAAAATATAGTCTCTTCAACAAATTGTGTTGGGAGAATGGATAAACACATGTAGAACAACGAAATTGGACCCCTATCTTACAGCACTTACAAAATTAACTCAAAATGGATCAAAGATTTAAACATAGACCTGATACCATAAAACTCTCAGAAGAAAACATAGAAAAGTAGCTCTTTGACATTGGTCATGGCAGTGAAGTTTTTCGATACGACAATAAAAGAACAAAAGCAAAAATCAACAATGAGGCTACATTAAACTTAAAAGCATTTGCACAATGAAAGAAACAATTAACAAAATAAAAGGGCAACCTACAGAATGGGAGAACATTTTTGGAAACTGTATAATCAGGTCAGGGATTAATCCCCCAAATATATAAAGAACTCCTACAACTAGAAATAAAAAAAATCCAGCCCTGGATGGTTTTGCTTAGTGGTTGGAGCATTGGCCCGAAGACTGAAGGGTCATGGCTTTGATTCCAGTCAAGGGCACCTGCCTTGGTTGCAGGCTGGATCCCTGACCAGGTCATGGGGGGAATTGGGTGTGGGAGGCAGCCAACTGATGTCTGTCTCTCCCCTTCCCTTTCACTCTCTAAAAATCAATAGAAGAAAAAATATTCTTGGGTGAGGATTAATGA